AAGTAAAATTGGATTAATAATTACAGTTTTTAAATAAAAAGAGTATAGTTAAAAAATGCTTTGAATAATTTAATTCTGTTTTATCTCATTATCTCATTCCATATTTAATGTAATTGCCAAAATGTTATATAATTTGAAATATAAATGAAATGATATATAATAATAATTATTATCCATAAAATGGAAATAAATTCTTATGTATTTCTTTTAATTTATAATGTTAACTTTGTTTATTGCTTTTGGATGCCAATCTCTTTATTTGAATTCATAATATGGTTAAAAATTTTAAATTTTCTGTCACTCAATTAAGTGACATTAATTTTTTCTTCTCAAATTTTATTTAATTGAAAATTGAATTATATTCAATTTTAATTCAATTACTAATATGGAATACGTTCCACGAATTAACATAAAAGATTATGATTTTATCAAAACCATTGGATCTGGCAATTTTGGAACAGTAAGTCTTGTAAGAAATATTAAAGATAATCTTGAATATGCTGCGAAAGAAGAATGCAATTCAGAATTTGATAATGAAGTAGAAATTGATGGCAATATCGAACGTTCTTCAAGACGGAATACAATAATGAAAGAATTAAAAACATATACAAAAATTAAAAATGCCGCCATTTTAAATTGCATCGGCTACAGTCCTTACAACTTGTCAAATCTCCCCAATTACACCCTAATTATGGAATACATGCCCAATAAATCCCTCGATAAACTTTTACAAAATGCATATAATTCATGTGCACCTATCACTTACACAAACACTGCCAAATACATCATATTGATTGGCACTGCGCTTGGAATGAAGTATCTCCATAATAAAGGAATAATTCATAGAGATCTCAAGCCAGGAAACATCCTTCTTGATGAACATTTGTATCCAAAAATTTGCGATTTCGGGTGCTCCAAAGTTTCTGACAAAGAATTGACTCACATCATGATGAAAACTGAAATTGGCACCCCAATGTACATGGCCCCTGAAATATACACAAATGACAGCTACTATAATTACAAAGTTGACGTTTATGCATTTTCATATGTTGCCTATGAAATCATCACAGGTGAAAAACCGTTCAAAGACATCACATCAGTCTTTCAATTCATGGGCAGAATCATTGAAGGCGAGAGACCAGATACAACAAAGATTGGTGATGCTGAAATATGTAAATTTCTTGAAAAATGTTGGTCGCCAGATCAGTCAAAAAGGCCATCTTTCCTGCAGATTGTTGAGGAATTGATGCAAGAAAGATTCAGGAATTATTTCAATGTTGTTGAAGACGATGATGATGTAAATGAATATCTTGACATGTTCGATGATGAACTGAAAAGTCCATTGTCAAAAGATGCATTGAATGTCAAGAAAGACGCTGACAACGGCAATGTTGAATCAATGTTTTTATATGGTATGATGCTGTGCAAAGGAATCGGTGCCCCAATCAATAAGAAAGAAGGCATCAAGTACTACAAGATGGCAATTGAAAAAGGCCACCAAGGAGCAATGCTGAATTACGCAATCATGCTTCATGATGGAGATGGAATTCCAGTTGACAAAAAGGAATCTGCAAAAATTTTAAGAATGGCAACCGATATCCCTCAAGCAGTTTATAACTTGTCATACCAGCTAATAAATGGAGATGGAATTCCTGCCGATAAAAAAGAAGGGATACGATTGTGTGAGAAGGCTGCAGAAATGGGCGATGTTTTAGCAATGAAATATCTTAGCAAAATTTATTCAAGAGGAGTAAATGTTCCTGCCAATCTTGAAACATCAGCTCATTATTGCAAAATGGCTGCTGAGAATGGAGATGTTGATTCTATGTTCATTTATGGTGAAATGTTATCCGAAAATATTGTTCCATCTAGTTCAAAAATTGAAGGTGTCTTATACTTGAGATTAGCAGCTGATATGGGCTCCGTCAATGCAATGACTAATTACGGAATAATGTTGATTGATGGTGAAGGAATTCCAGTGAACATTAATGAAGGAATGAAGTACTTAAAAATGGCTTCAGAAAAAAACTTTCCTAATGCATTTTTCGCAATGTTTATAGCAATTTTTAAATTTAACGGATATCCTCTTGATAACGAAACATTTGTAGATTCCGTAAATAAATATTTAGAGGACCCAAAAGAGTTGAATAATGACATGAAAAATGCAATCGCATATCTTAAAAAGGCTGCGGATTTGGATTATCTTGAAGCAATATATTATTATGGATTTATGCGATATATTGGATTTGCAATGGAATGCAACAAAGAAGAAGGCATCGAATACATTATCAAATCCTATGAAAAAGGTAAAAAGGAGGCTTTTCAAATGGTGGTAGCCTTTTTGTTACACCAAAATGGTGATGAAAATGGAGAAGAAGTTCTTTTATTTTTAAAAATGAGTGTAGATAGAGGTGATGTACATGCAATGCTTTATTGTTCATATTTGCTACTTCAAGAAGACATTTTAGGTACAAATAATTTGAAAGAAATAAAAGAATTCTCTTCATTCAATATAGAGAATCTTTCATTTGGAAAAAAAATCAAACAAAACGAGGAAGAAGGCTTAAAATATTTAAAAATGGCTGCCGATCATGGCGATATCTTTGCGATGCGCCAATATTCAACCATTATGATTGACAAGAAAAATCAAATAGAAGGTCTCAAATACTTAAAAATGGCTGCAGATCAAGGTGACATTGAATCGATGAAAGTTTATGGTGGAATGCTAATTGATGATGATAGTGTTGAAAAGAATGAAGTTGAAGGAGCAAAATACATTAAAAAGGCGGCTGATAGAGGTGATTATACCGCTATTGGTAAGTATGGAGAACTTTTGTATCATGGGAAAGGTGTCACTGCTAATAAGAAAGGAGCATCCAAGTTATATAAAATTGCAGCAGATGGTGGAATTGATTTTTGTATGTACTCATATGCAAGAATGCTTCGTCATGGAGATGGAATACCTCAAAATATCAAAGAATCAATCAAATATTACAAAATGGCAATTGATAAAGGACATTCTATTTCAATGATAAACTATGCACACATGCTATTTAGCGGAGAAGGAATTACTGTTGATAGAGTCGAAGCAGCAAAATACTATAAAATGTCAGCAGATCATGGATATACTAATGCAATGATTAATTTAGGAAGAATGATGTTTTATGGTGAAGGAATACCAAAAAACAAAAAAGAAGGATTACGTTACTTTAAAATGGGTGCTGATTTAGGAAACCAACAATCAATGTTTTTATATGGTAAGATATTGTATGAAGGACATGAAATACAAGGCAATGTTAAAGAAGGATATGAATACATTAAAAAAGCTGCTGATAACGGATACCCAATAGCAATACTTTATTTAAGTAGATTAAATTCAAAAAGATCAGATGAAGAAGAAAACAATAACAATAATAAAAATACATTTGATAACTTTTTCGATTGCAATTTTAATACTCAAGATGAACCAACAACAAAGTCCATTTATGATATTAGCATTTACACCTATCCAACACAGACTCTTAAAGATAATCTGTTCCTTTATATTTCAGAATTTTCATTTTCAGGCAAAGATTTTGAATTAATTGATCGACGATTGCAAAGTTTATCATCATATAAATCAAAGCACGGACACATGATTCATGCAGAAGATCCAAACAAGTTGTACACATTTTATTTCTTTTTAAATAATGATAGCTCTATTATTAAGCCAACAATTGAAAACGCTGTAAGAAGTTTAGGTGTTAAAGTACCACCGCTCATATACAACATAAATTTGTACTTTGAAGAAAATACATTACAACCAAATGTTCTCAAAATCATTCTTAAAAAATTGAAAAAAATACCACAAATAAAGTCTATTCAAAGAAATATTTTTGATGGAAGACAAATAGCTACATACATTAATGCTGATTATTTAGATCAAGCACAGATAATCCAATCTCTTAAACGTTATTTATTAAAGAAAAATCTAGCTATTGACACAGAAAAGTATCCTTTATTAAGAAATATCATAATTAATGAAAAAATGATGCTTGGCTACAGTAATGCATTTGACATTATTGTTGATGAAATTAAATCATATGGAATCATACCAATTGATATTTTAAGAAACACGATTTATATATATAATGAAAATCATTTGAAGAAGCTTTTTCAAGTTTTTTCTTTCATTTGTTTTAAAGATGAAAATGAAAAAATGCTAGCTTTGAATCACATTAATTCAATATTGTTCAGAGACAAGCCAAATGTTCTTAAGTACAAAATGAATCTTCATTATGCTACTCTTAATGTATGTCCACTTGGAAAACCTCTTCGTAAAAGTATTGTAAAAATTTTCCAAAGTTTCGATGGTGTTGAAGATATTCAGCATAATGTCTTTTCAATTGAAAGCCCTTGTTTAAGAACATATATTGGATTTGATACTATGTCAAACTTGAAAAAAGCATGTGAAAAGTATTTTTATTTTAAATCGTTGGCAATGAAATTTGCACAGGATGATTTCGAATTTTTCGCTCCAAGAAAAAATTTATTTTATTTAAAAATAAAAACTAATCATAATGATTTAAAAATATCAGAAATATTGTATGCAATTTCTCGGAATGCCTCTGATTTTCAGGAAAATTGCTTCGATGATTCAAATTCATTTGATCGGTCATTTGCTTCTTATATGGGATTCAATACAATGCAGAAATACAAAAAAATATATAAATATCTTAGCCTTCATCCAGAAATAAGTAATGCAGATATTTCTGAATACATTCCCAAACAAAACATAGAAACGCCTGTTTTACATTTTGATGAAGAAACTTATATTTATTATGAAAGTTTCTGAATGATTAGAAATGAAGAAACTTATATTTCAGCCATCTAGATGTAGAGATCATTAAGTCTCATAAACACAATTCTTTTAATTAATTTTATTTCATATTTTTACAAAAAAATTCTTAAAATTTTATAAAAATATATTTTTAGCTACATAAGAACAATATAGATAGAAAGGGTTGATGGTGTAAAGGTTAGCACATTTGCCTGTGGTGCAAAATGTCCGTGTTCGATTCACGGTCTACCCATTTTTTTGTGTTTTTAATTATGATTAAAAGAAATTTTTTAAAAAAATATGAAATAAAATCAGCCAAAAATCTGTACACATTTTTTTGAGAGCTTTTCCTTTATCTTGAGTGTTCTATTAATCCGATTTTGATAGATCTATTTTTGAAAAATGTCTTAAAATTATTTGGAACAATACTTGAACAAAACATTTGAATTTATAAAAAGTAAAAATTTCAAAGATTTTTTGAGATGTATTTTGGACAAAACCAAATCAATTTAACATCATACACAATTAGATCCAATAATGGATCAGCTAGTTCAAATGCTCATCCAAAAACATGGACGATGTCAGGATCGAATGATAAAACTGAGTTGACAATCCAGTCCTGAATGGTGAGTACAACCAACACCGATTTGAAATTAAGAATCACAACGACAAATATTACCGTTACATTCGATATCATCAAGATGATTCAATGGATAATGATAAAAAGTACCAATATGCAATTTACATCATGCATTGAATTCTTTGGTTCTTTTAAATTATCATAAAACAGCCCTTAAAATAATAATGATGGTCTCTCATAAATTATAAGCATATCTTATATCTAAATACCAATATTCGTTTTTTTTTTTTTTTTCTAAATACCAATATTCGTTCTTAATTACCTATTTCGAGCTTATTAATAATGAAAAATTTTATTTAAATCAAGAAGGGCACGCACCTAAGTCTAGTGGTATGATTCACCCTTAAGGTGCGTGATGTCTTTTTTTTATAGTATTCATATCTTTAAAATAAATAAATGTAAAGACTATGTGTTGTTTCTTTTGTTGTTAATATTTCTGCTGATTCAGTCTTTTCTGATGCCGTACAAGATGAATCAGCTTTTTTATTTGTAGTCCACATTTAATCCTCATATCCAACAAGTTTGAATTCTCGATCTCTGAAATTGATTTCGAGTATCAGTGCATACTTATTTAATGATATCAAAAAGTTAATCAATTATCGATCTCGAGAATCTGAGAATTACAAAGATTAATTGGAATCACATATATAAAAAAAGCTTTTATGAAAGCCAGAAGAATAATTTGTTCAAATAATGATAAAATAATTTCAATTATAAATCAGGTGAATTGAAAAAAACAAGCCCGATCATGAAAAAAATTATATAATATTTAATTTTCTTACATTTTTAAAATATCAAAAGATTTTACATTATTATACAGCATGAATCTTGTTTATCTTCAGAACATGATGCATTCATTTGATTTGGTGAATTAAGAGCAACTTGGGTTGCTAATTCAAACACATCATCTAGATGAAGTTGTTTTAATGATGAACATTCTACATAATATTGAGCTCCAACTTTATTTTTCATTTCCTCTCCTTTTGATGAAGGAATTGGTTGCCACCCTTTTGATTTGAATTCATACTCATGCTGTTCATATGCATCTCTTAAATCAGATTTCGTTCCTACTATTATAAATGGAACGTTTGGACAATATTTTTTGATTAAAGGAACGTATTTGTTTTCAATATTTTCTAATGATGTAAGTGAAACAAGAGAAAAGCATAAAATAAAACAATTTGTAAACGGATATACTAATGGTATCAGTTTGGAATGATTTTCATGTCCCACCATATCCCATAGACCCAATTCGATTGATTGATTTTCAACTCTCACTTTGACTGAATGAGAGTCAAATATGCTTGAAATATATTCGCTTGGGAATACATTTGTTGTGTAAGTAATTAATAAGCATGTTTTCCCAACTGTAATATCCCCATCAACAACACATTTAATATGTTTCATATTTTTTTGAGATAAAAATAATTTTTAAAAATTCCTTATAATCAATATTTCTATTATTACTGAAAAATTGAAATAAAATATTGAAATTTTTGAGTATTGAATGTAAAAATTAACAAAGGGGCAGAAATAAAGAATCAATTTTTGGATTGGATTTCCCAACAAGCATACATTGTATAATTGTTATACATGTTAAATCATTTGTTGAAACACAGAATCCATCATTCGGTTCATCAATAGAAGAAGGATGAATGAGATTTTTAATGAAAGTTCCAGAAAAGGCAGATCGAGTAATTGAGTTCAATTCCGAATCAACTTTTAAATCAAATTTTTCTAAATTTGATCCCGCAAAAGCATATCTCCCAATTGTTGTAACATGTGATGGAATTCTTATCTCTTTCATATTTGAATAATTTTTAACTCGCAATTTTGTGAAAATTCCATTTTTTTGAATCTTTTCAGAACTGCTAAAAGCATAATTATCTTTTTTTTTTTTTACTTTTTGAGGAATTTTTATATACTCAGGCGAAGATACTGTAAAGGAATATTTTTCAATCAATTTTAATTCAGAATCATCTGAAAAGAGAAAGTTTTTGATTTTGTTTGAATTGTAAAAGCTCTCTCAACAACAGAAGTTATCAAGTATTCTTTGTTGTTTCCCTAATGAATACTCTAAAAGAAGCAATTTTTTCTTTCAAATCATTTCTATCTTCTTATTTTAAGAATAGGCTCATTTATTTAAGGAACCACATTATCTTGTTTTATGTTTACATATTATTAAAAATTCTTAATTTTTTATAAAAATATATGTTTAACCACATTATAACAATATAGATAGAAAGGGTTGATGGTGTAAAGGTTAGCACATTTGCCTGTGGTGCAAAATGTCCGTGTTCGATTCACGGTCTACCCATTTTTTTGTGTTTTTATTTATTTTATAAATATTCAATGGTGTAAAGCTTTGGTATGACCTCCATCAGCAGCAAGTTTATAATATCGAACTGCTTCATATCTATTCATTTCTATTCCATCATCATCTTTGAGCATGACTGCGTAATTATACATCGCTTCAGTATATCCTTTGTCAGCTGCTTGTTTGAAATATTGAGATGCTACTATCTTGTTCATTTTGATTCCTGATCCTTTCGAAAGAAGAAAAGCATAGTTATTCATGGCTCTTATGTGACCTTGATCTGCTGCGAGTTTATAATATTGAGCTGCTTCTTTTTTGCTTCTTCTTACTCCAATTCCTTCTTTAAGCATGAAACCATATCTGACCATTGAATCAACATGACCATTATCTGCTGCAAGTTTATAATATTGAGCTGCTTCACTCTTGCTTTTTCTTTTACCAACTCCTTCTTCAATCATTTTCCCATATTCAAACATTGAATCAACATGACCATTATCTGCTGCAAGTTTATAATATTGAGCTGCTTCTTTCTTGTTTTCTTCAATTCCATCTCCATTTTCGAGCATAACAGCGAGTTTATACATGGAATCAGTATATCCTTGATCTGCTGTAAATTTGTAATAACAAACTGCTGTTGCCATATCTATTTCAGTTCCTTCTCCCTTTGAAAGCATGCCAGCATATTTGAACATCGCTCGATGATCTCTGTGCCCTGCTGCAAGATTGTAATAATGTGCTGCTTTTTCTGTATTCTTCATTATTCCATCTCCATTCAAAAGCATTTCTGCTAATTTGATCATTGATTCAACATGGCCTTGATTGGATGCAAGTTCATAATATTCAGCTTCTTCTTTTTTATCTTTTTCTACAGCATCTCCATTGATAAGCATATCTGCATATTTTAATATTCCATTATAGGATCCTCTATCTGCTAGAGATTTATAATCACAAGATGTTTCTTTCTTGTTCTCTTCTATTCCATCTCCATTTTCAAGCAAAGCTGCGCATTCTTGCATTGATTCAACATCTCCTTGATCTGCTGCATGTTTATAATATTTGGCCAATTCTTCCTTGTTCATTTCTGTTACATCATCTTCTGAATGATTTTTCTCAGATTGAAATTTTGATCCTGATTCACTTGGTTCTTTCAATTGTTCTTCTTTTGTTATTATTTTTCCTGTATTATTTCCATTATCTTTCATTTTATTATTCTTTGATGATATTTCTTTATATATGTTCCAATAAAATGTGTTATCTGTAGATTCTTCTTGAATTTCTTTCAAATATTCAGAAACAAATATATTAATGTTTTTTTTTTTTGTTTCATCTGTATAATCTTTTCCTTCATTTGCATTATTTCCAATAATTTCTCGTTTGTGTGATCCAAGTTCTTCAATGATATCTGAAATTGTTGTTTGATTCTTTTTGTTCATAGTCAAATGCATATGTCAAATATTGGAAGGCATAGATTTCATTTAATAAAAATGAAGTCAAATATTGAAGATAGTTTCAATGCATATCTTGATTATTATAGATATGTCAATTAAGAATTTCTATTATTATAAATGGACTATAAAGTTTTATATATTGATTTTTATGATTTTGTTATAATTATTATAGTCGTTCTCAAGAAGTTGGTAACCCAGAAAATATCTATTTTTATTTGTCCATCTTGCAATAATAATAAAACAAGTATTACAAAGATATAAATAAATACAAAATATATTAACTTAGAAAATATAATTAATTAAACCCATGTTATTTTCACTTGTGAATCAAGTATAATATTGCTTGAGCGAAGAAAAGAAGGAATCGTGATTTCAGTTAATGATGAGCATCCATTGAAAGCAGAGAATTCTATCAAAGTTACAGAAGTTGGAATTGTGATTTGCTTTAATGATGAACATCCTTGAAAAGCGTATGATTCGATTGATGTTACAGAAGAAGGAATTGTGATTTGCGTTAGTGATGAGCATCCTTGAAAAGTATATGATTTAATTGAAGTCACAGAAGATGGAATTATGATTTGTGTCAATAATGAGCACTTTTTGAAAGCATGGTCTCCAATTGAAGTTACTGAAGAAGGAATTGTAATTTGTGCCAATGATGAACATCCATAGAAAGCATATGATTTAATTGAAGTTACAGAAGAAGGAATTGTAATTCGTGCTAATGATGAGCACCCATAAAAAGTATATGGTTTGATTGATGTCACCGAAGAAGGAATTGTGATTTGTTTTAAAGATGAACATTTATAAAAAGCATATATTTCAATTGAAGTTACAGAAGAGGGAAT